ATTTCGTTACACCCCCTGTAATGTTCAAATGGTTGCTAAATTCGAAATCAGCTCCAAAAACTAGCCTAGAAACATGTAAAACTCGAATAAGGAACCGAGGTCATCAAAGGTCATTGAGCTGACCTGACCTTCAGGTGACCTTGACACCCACCCTAATGCATGGGACCAGCATCATATCACATGTTTCAACGCTTGAAACCACGTGAAGACTGCAACCGCGCGGCTAATGCGAGCCGTCATACGCCGAATCGCGATTCGGGCCAAACATGGTCTCGAGAAATAGGTCACCTAGGTCAAAGGTCATTTGGGTCAGGGTCGTGAAATTTTCAGGGTAGGTGTAAAATTGATAAAATCGGGGGCATTGAAAGTTTCGTCGCGATCGGACGGTTTTTACGTGAGTTACTCACGAAAAACCAATAAAGCGCACCCAAAAAGGCAGAAATATGCACATGCGATATCCTATACTGCGAAAAAAGTGCATCATTTTTTAACGTCGCCGACAAATTGTAATTAACCTAAGCTCAGGCAGATGTATGGTAGAAAATCCCCCAAGTGAAATACACTACGGCGGAAATAAAATACCCTACGGCGGAGCTCGGTTGCAATTTGTAAATACGCGAACGGAGGCGGAGGCGGAAGGGGAGATCAGAACCTGGCTCCGGCAGCGGTGAGGGATCACCTGAAGCTGGGAGAGGGAAGGAGATACGGAGGGTGTGCCTGAACAAATCACTGGCGCAATAGAGCATGCGTTACTGTGGTTCGCTTACTAAACGGCTTCGCTACCATTTCATACCACTGCATCCCAATACAATCTGCAAAGCTTTTTAATGAATCGGTTTACTTGTGCGACTAAAAGCAGATTTACCGCTTGACCTTCTGATAAATATTAATTAAACAAAAATTATTTAGGATTCAACTGTTTATTATTTCCATTGTTTTTTTTTTTTAATTACCGACTGCCATCTTTTATAATAAAAGAAATATGCACTCTACGTACCTGCTAGGAAGGCCTGCTGAACTTTGAAGATGTGGCAGCCTGCTGATACGTCGTCGTAGTAGCACATGTTGTACTCCTCGATCGAAGTCTTGTCCTGGCAGTGGGTGGCAGCGTCGACCTGCAGCTTCACAGCCTGCGGACAAAACCGTGAAATGGTCAGTCACGCTGTCTCACAAATTGTAGGTCAAGGTAATCACTCGAGCATCTAAACAGCTAAGCTTGGCACGACAACAAAAGTGGTCAGATAGTGGTCTGTAGGAATGGCAGAATCACAAATTTTTAGAGGCATGGTCAGTCAACTTGACCCGGTGGCCTGACCTGATGTGTCCTAGGGTCAAAACTATTACCCACGCTTAGAAATTAATGGCGATACATCATAAGCTATACCAGGTTTCGCGGCGCTGCGTGCCACAGGTTTCTTTACACACGCAAAAAAGCAGGTACCTAGGTGTGGCCAAAAACGGAAGGGGAAGAATATCGCACCTATCATCTAACAAATCCTAAAACCATCAAAGCCTGCCAAACCGCGCCAATTATTGGACGTGCGTTCCGCACTGACCCTCTCGTCTCCCTCGAACTGCTTGAGCTGCTCGATGAGCGTCGTCACGTCCAGCTGTCCGTCCTGGCGCAGCGCGCCGACCGTGTCGAACACGCAGTAGATGAACCGGTGCACTCGCTCGGTGACCGACGCCGGCTTCTCGGCCGCCTCCTCAGTCTCGCCGGAGCCCTCCAGAGGCTCGGCGTCGGCGTCGGGGACACTGCGCCGCCGCCGCAGCGTGGCGTACTGGACGGGCACCTCGTGAGCGTCCCGACACTCGTCCATGGCCGACACGATCTGGGGGAGCGGACAGACGGGATGGGGTCAGAGACGGCGAGACAGAGAGACGGCTAGAGAATGTCATTGCACTCCAAGGATGCTATCTCCTTAGTAGAAACAATCCGCTGCCTGGCTTGACCCCAGACCCGAGGACCGGGAAATCATTATGTATGTGGGCCCCACTATCAGGCATCACCCACGAGACCCTAATGGCCAGATCACTGTAAGTCTTAACCGCAAGGCTCCATTGGTCACTGATTTTAACAATCAATTGCTCAAAACACATTTAGCCGAATCTGCAGCTTACTATTGCAGGGTTAAATATGCGCTATGCGTGAGGGATAGAGAGGGAGAGAGGAGACAGTCTGCTCAACTCACCGTGGGCGTTGGCTTCAGGTTCTCCAGACACTCGGTCTGCTGGATGCCGATGTCGAGGGCGCGGTCGGGGTCGTCGCGCGCCAGCCGTTTGTACATGCAGCTGCTCTCGAGCAGCGAGTCGCGGCACACGTAGTAGAAGTTCTGGCGCTGCTCTACGCTCAGGTCGTCCGGCGTGTGGTGCAGACAGGCGCGCGACGCCGCCTGCACGTCCCGCTCGAACGGCGCCGGGAAGCCCAGCGCCGAGATCTCCTCCTCCAGCTGAGGGCGGGCGGCGGGGAGACACGGGGCGGCGTCAGAGACCGGGTGTTTAGTACACAGACATTCCAAAGCTCCTCAATGCGAAAAAGGTCAATTTGCAAAGCAACAAGTCTTACAAATCAGCTTAAGTTGATGGGGCAAAATGCTTATTGGTGGGGTAAAATAGGAAGTTGGAGGGGGGGGGGGAAGCAGCCGCCCCACCAACTGTATAGAAAGCTCCGCCCCTGTGCTGTGCATTTCTCACAATTTCTGCATTACATTTGGCTAGCTCTTCCGCCGGTTCTCCAGCTTTGCTCACCCTCTGTTCGACGAACTCTCCGGCGTCGTCTACTACACCCATGCTCTCGGCCATACAGTCGCGGATGCCGAGCTGGAACCGGCGCACCGAGCCGCCGATGCTGCGCGCCTGGTTCTTCGGGTCGTTCACTGCCCGGTCAAGGTCAGTAGGTCAAGGTCAGGTCAATGTCAAGGTGAAAACAGCCCATACAGACACAGGAACAGCATATGGGATGTTAAAACGCATCTAAGCTCAACCTTAAGACCAAAGGCTTTCGCATAGTTGAAGAAGAGTTACATGCATAACTTGCACTTAATTAATCGCAACCACCCTTTATCACCACTATGAACGGCATCATCAAAAGCTTTATCTCAATGCCGAGTAGGTAAATTTACATCTGATATCGAGCGCCCTACAGAGCCCCTCTGTCCACTCCTGGACGGCCATGGCCCTGTCCCCGGGCCCGGACCCATTCACGGACGGAGTAGGTACCCTGACCCTGGGCCCACTCACGGACGGCCAGAACCCTGTCCTTGTCCCTGAACTCCACTCACGGACTGCCGGAACCCTGTCCCTGTCTCTGAACTCCACTCACGGACGGCGGCCAGTGTCCTGTCCCTGTCCCTGTCCCTGAACTCCACTCACGGACGGCCAGTGTCCTGCATCCCTGCCCTCGGACCCACTCCACTCACGGACGGCGGCCAGTGTCCTGTCCCTGCCCCCGGACCCACTCCACTCACGGACGGCCAGTGTCCTGTCCCTGTCCCCGGACCCACTCACGGACGGCCAGTGTCCTGCATCCCTGCCCCCGGACCCACTCACGGACGGCCAGTGTCCTGCATCCCTGTCCCCGGACCCACTCCACTCACGGACGGCCAGTGTCCTGCATCCCTGTCCCCGGACCCACTCCACTCACGGACGGCCAGTGTCCTGCATCCCTGCCCCCGGACCCACTCCACTCACGGACGGCCAGCTCGGCGCTCAGTCTGTCCAGGTCGTCCTGCGACTCGAAGGCCTGCTCCACGCGGCGCATGCACTCGTCGGCGATGGCGCTGATCCGCTCCGGCAGGCGGTACGACTCGGGCACGCACTCGGGGTCCCGCAGCGACTCGAGGCCGCCGAAACTGAACAGGCCGTCATGGTGCTCGGCTGCCGGAGGGCGCAGCAGGAGGGGGGAGGGGAGTGTTAGCGGGCCTTGACGGGTCGTGCACTGGGTGTTTGCAGATTTGGACAGATGCATATTTAAAAATAAACTTTTTTAATGTTGGACATCCATAAAAAAATATTTTACCCACACTATGGCACATATGCTTTTTTACTGTGATCTAGGACTGTCAATTTAATTTTGTCTTACCAAATATTTGTCAAAAGTAAGTATAAAACGTAAATATTTGCATCGTAGCCAGTGCCATTGATTAAAGCGACCGGGCCTGTCGGTGGTGTTATTTGGACAATAAACTGGAAGCTGTAAATCACTCTCACCTCTGACGGCGAGCACTGCAGCGCCCAGCAGCCACAGCAGCGACGTGGAGCTCCTCATGACGGCTGTGTTCGGGGAGGCTCACCACTGGCGCCGCCGGTCGTCCACACCACGCCTTTATAGGCTCGCACTGAATGGCAGGCCGCCGGCGACCGACGAGAAAAAACCGCACCGAGCTTGGCACACAGACCAGGAAGCCATCAGACTTAAAAACGAGATTCTAGAGAAAAAGCGTGGCACGTGTTACAGATTTAGAGAAGAGTGCGCGTTTTGCATGTGAAATTTGCCGTCAGTGGTGTTAGTTTGCTGGCTGAGCGTTGAGGGCTCCGGCAGCTCCGGCGTCGAGTTTCTGCTGATTTTTTCTCGGCGCCGGGCCGCCGGCGCTGCTCTGCACGTTATAACGGAGCCGGTAGGGTGAACGGACTGCCAGCTACCCATTAGGGCGCCAGTCGGTGGGACGCCCCGGGCCGGCGGTCTCACTAGAACCGACAGCAGCGGCTGAGCGCTTCACAGAGCTCTGTGGACGCGGCTGTAAACACTGAGCACTGCTGTTACCACGTCATGTGCTGTGTGCCCGCCCTGGTTTAGTGCAGCTTTAGTAGCATCTCACATCTGTATATTTGTATGCACTTGTATCAGTATGACAACGTTCTTTGTCTCCGAGTCCGGCGCCGTGTATGTTTTACCAGTTTTACCGCTGAAGCCCTCCAGAGATGCAAGGCTATATCAATGCTGCAACGATACTCCCCGATGTCCGGTTTTCGAAAAGTGCCCGTGGCTGCTGAAACAAGACTTAGCTCATTTTCATATTTATTCAATTTACGACCCAACAAGTGCCTAGATAAAGTGGGCACTGAGTTGTGCGACACAAAATAATTGACGCTCGACAACAAACTGCGAATCTAAAAGCAAAAGAAATAAGGACACGCATACGGACTTATATGTAATACTATCAGTCAATGAACACGCACCTTATAAAAAAAAATTCCAGTAAATAGCATAAGCTCTAAAGTGGCACCACAGACTGTCTCATAGCACTACTACTTTGATCCAAGCACATTTGCAACTGTCGCAAATCGCTATTGTGGCGCGATTTGAGTGCCTAAATGCTAAATTATAAGCATTGGAACTGTCTTGCGAGGAAGAACTAGTGTCAATGCACACTAGAAGATACCTTATGCCCAACTTATGCCTATGTTTCGCATTACATCACTGATGAACGCGTTCCTCCTGCTATTTCTAGTCACGACTCTCGCATGCAAACTGTTTTATTGTTCTGTATCTGGTTCGAAGTACTTTGCTATCTGCCTCGAGCATCACACAGTGCGAGCCAATCCAGGTTTCCAATCCCCTTTGTCTCAGCTGTCTCCACTACGACAATAAGAGCAGCACACCGTGACTAATTGGCATGGGCTTCCACCGTCGAGGTGTCTCACCAGATTCTGGCGTCGTCTCTGTTCCCGATGGATTCCGGCGTCTTCTTTATTCCACACTTTTAGACCCAAGCTCTACCTGTGCCGCCGCGTCCAACTGAGAACTGACGCCTTTTGTGTAGCACAAAACATAGCTCTGTCTGTCACTCTTCTTTTAAAATCATGATATTTCTGTCACATTCTCCACGCACCAGAATCATCCATGTTCGGTCAGATCGTGACGCTTTTATCATCGTCGCACTATGCCAGACCAAAACGACTCCAGAGCGAATCGTCACACCCCGGTGTCGCCTCCGAACAGGCGCCACTTCCCGGGAAGGCCCCGGGCAGACCCCGAGCAGACCTCGAATAGCCGTCAGACCCCGGGCAGACCTCGGCAGACCTCCGAGAGACCCCGGCCAGACTCAGGTAGACACGGACAGGCCCCCGAACAGCCGTCAGACGCCGGGCAGACCCTGGGCAGCCGTCAGAACCCCAAGTAAACCCCGTGTAGACCCTGAGCAGCCGACAGAACCCCGGGTCGTCGTAACACCCCGGGCAGCCGTCAGACCCTGGCGTCGCCGCGCTGAGAGCCGGTCGGCGTTCTGGATACGTCGGTGAGCGGCACCACCTCGGCTCCGGTGCCGTCCGGCGGCTCCTCGCCCTTCTTGCAGTCGGTGTCCGAGTGCAGGTCCAGCCCTCCGACCCGCTCCTGGCAGAGGGCCGCCCCAGTAGCGCGGGTCAGACACTCGGCAGCGCGAGACAAACACAGGCCGACCAGTCAACGGTGTATTTAGATAATTTACATCAGTTTAGTGCAAGCCATTGTAAGAAAATGTGACTAGACTTACCCGCCGAAATACACAATTGGCTTAGCAAACAATAGCAATAAAATGTCATAACATTGTACGAGTGTTATGACGATCTTAGGACAATTACGATAAATGCGCTGTTGTTTAAAATATTATGCTGATGCAAGGTAAACCCGATACAAAATTATGCAGAATGCTGAGCCAGACAGGTGCACTGAGCCTGATCAGCCGGCGCCTCAGGTTCTGTACATAAAGCGCGGCGAGATGTAGGGCGAGTGGCAGGTCTCGCATTTGAGCGCGCTGCGGTCATAGAGCACAATGTTGGAGCCACTGACCCCTTCGTGGTAGGCGGGCTGCGGCTCCCAGTGGCCCGAGTCGCGCACCAGGCGCACGTAGACGAGCGCGCCGCACGCCAGGCACAGACAGCAGGCGGCGGCGGCGGCCAGGATCACCATCACCTGACCACTGCTGCCCAGCAGGCCCTCCTCCTGGGAGCAGGAGGACGAGGGCGGGCCCAGGCCGGCCGAGGTCGACTCCACGTCCGCAGACACCTGGCGAGAGAGCGCAGCAATGTCAGCGGAGATAGGTCACCAAGGCCGGGGGGAGGGGGCTTCAATTCAACCATCAACACGGGGCAAGTCCAGAAAAGGCTAGCAGACTAAAAGCAAATGAATAAAACCATAAATGAACGCAGGTTGTCCTAAACTAGGTGTTCATGAGCACGAAAGTAACGGACTTTCATCGAATGTTTGATTTAACGATCGATATTTTTGGTGTATTTCCTAGCTTATAACACATTTCGGGAGCCCGTCCCCATTTCAGCCACCCGTCTGCTACCCGTCTCCAATAGAAGAACACAACTCTAACGAATAGCCCTTCTCTATTTCAACAACCTGCGGTTATAACCTACCATGTCTCCGATCTCCTCGGCGTTGTCCGCGATCATTTCGGCCAGCATCCAGGCGGGTATGGCCCCCTCCCTGTCGGCGCTGGCCGCCCGCCGCCGCCGCCGGCGCGCCGCGGGTGTCGGTGAGGGGTCAGAGGTCGCCGGGGTCGGCGCCGGGTCAGAGGTCAGCGGAGTCGCGGTGGCCGGCGGCGCGGAGCCGGCCGCTGAGGTGCTGGCAGGGCCGCCGGTCGGTGTAACGGTGCTCAGTGCTGGCCGATCGCCCCGCCATACGATCAGGAAGTGGAGCAGTATGTGCGGCGGACGGTAGACAGGAGAAGGCGACACGTAAACCCACTCCAGCTCCGTGTCGTTGGAAACCTGAAATAATGAAGGAAATACGACTTACGAGTTACTAGCGCTTAAAACGACGGATTTATGTCAATGTTATGGTCAGATTTTGTGCACTAACATATAGGCGGAAATTCATGCCGCTCAAATGCATTTTCATTCCATCACGAAACATAATTATTGAATTAAACTTAGGCGCATCGAGGCTTTTATGAACAAATCATTTTAATTATTAAACCAGTATCCCGATGATGACACGATACCTCTGTAGCATTTTTATATTGACCCTTGAAGTAAATGTTTAATTAATTTACGCATCTGGAATGGCAAATATTTGCCCCGTTCGTGGCTCACGCTGTCTCTGGTGATGTTGAGGATGGTCGACCTCAGCAGGCTCTCCTTCACCCCCATCCAGGCCAGGAAGCTGATCCGGCGCGGCAGCAGCACCATGGTGACGACGCCCTCAGTCTCAGGACGAGTCATCTCATCCGCCATCATACTCTGTCAACCAGTCGCCGGTACGGTTAGTGTGCTTCAACGCGCCAAGGAACTGTGCATGTATTGTGCATGTATGTGTGTGCATGCATGCGCATGCATTCACTCATATTGGCTTTCAATTATGCTGCCACATATAAAGCTCGGTCTGAATTTTCGTTTTTATGTGCTTTATCTTATCTTTTGCTTTCTTCGTCTCTGGTTTGTCTGTTTGTCATGTCTTTTGTTCATTGTGTGTTCAGTCGTCTCTTGTCGACCGTCTTTTATCCGCCGACTGTCGCAGCTGTCTGCCACAGCCATTTTTTTGTCCACGGTCTGTCGCAGTCTCCCAGACAGCCCCAGTGCCAGGTGGTCCCGCCAGGCCAGAGCGGCCGCCGCCGCATCGCGATCCCGTTCGGTCCGCTCACACTTCACGGTCATGGCAATGACCGCCGGCGCCGCCGGCCAGCGCCGTGGGCGGTGGCCGGCGCTTCAGACCGGCGCGGCGCGGCGCAGAGAGCGCCGGTGATGGGGTGGGAGTCTCAGACTCAGGCAGAGGGAATCTCAGACTGAGGCAGAGGGAGTCCCACGGTGGCGCTGCCAGCCAGCAAGTAACACCGACGCTTCTAGTGCTGGGCCTCAGACCAGCGCGGAACAGAGCGACGGTGGTGGGTGGGAGCCGGGAGTCTCAGATTGGCTCGGCGCACCGCTGCCCCGTGGCTCAGGCGGGCAGTCACCGCAGCTAAACCTCCTGAGTCCCGACGATGGCCGACAGACAGATTCACAGTAAGAAAAGCATTAACAGAATAAACGACAAAAGATAATTCGAAAAAACGAACAAATAGACGGATACACATTCAGAGAGAACAAACAAAAGTTAGCAGAACGCCCGGACGGACAGACGAACTGCCATGGACGGACGAGCAGGGGGACAGACGGAAGGGCGGACGGACATACAGACGGACAGACGAACAGCCGGACGTACGGACAAATAAACTGACAGACGGACGTATGTAAGTACATACGGACAGACGGACGGACGGACGGACGGATGGATAGATAGACAGTCAGACGAGACTGTAGATTGTAGAATTGAGTGGACTGTGAGAGCTGATTTTGATGCTGTCGATGACAGTGTCTGTCGGCAAAAAAAATGACCGCCTTGTGGCATGGTAAACCTTTTTTCATTTAGTAGGATAAGCATTTTATCGGAAACAGGTAATGACAGAGATGACTCGTAGGAGGCATCTAAACGTGCTCGGTTCGAGCAGTATCGCGTCACGCTTATGGGGACCGATTTGGGAGTCTCTGGACCGAAGCAGTTACCGAAATCATTTAATAGTTTCGATGATAATGCCCCTACCGATAATAACATGCTTCTTTCTTAAACGTCATTGCAATGCTTTAATACCTACCTAAATACAGTTATTCGCAGGGTTACCAGGACCAGATGTAGCACATACCTAAACTTCATATCAAACAAAATCAACAAGAAACGTAAATTCTATCTGAGGCCGTTTCTAAAATCACCAGTCGGGCCTGGGCAGGAAGTCACTGCGACAAGACCCTCAGATGGCGGGGGCCTAACATTCCTGAGGGCGGCACACAGATCGGGGTACCGCTAATGAAAAACAAGCCATTTCACTGAACATTCCCGTCAGCGTGGCCAGATTAACAGCCCGGTGCCGGGACGGGTCCACCCGGAACTCATCTGAAAGGATGACCGGGGGAGGGGGAGGAGAGGGGGCAGGCTGAGACGCTACCGACCAAGTGCGGGAGGGACGGGAGTCAGGGGAGGGGGCACCGGGAGGGTCGGAGTGATTTAGGGAAGTGGGGGTGGGGAGGAACGGAGAGCCTGAGAGGCACCGGGAGGGTCGGAGAGGTTCGGGGGAGTGGAGGCGGGGATGGAATTCATCATGCAGCGCCACGGAGCACTGTAGGCCGGCAGCCTGAAAAAGCGCTAGAAATTCCCCCAAACTGACTGTCCGCAATATGAACAAAATAGGTATCATTTAATCCCAAATTGATCGAAGAATACGATTCCGATGCTAGTTTTGCCCTAAGGTCAAAATTGAGGTCGTCAGTTGTCACCAAACACAAGACAATTTAGGCTCTCTATAGGCCACCACATTTACCGATTTTAATGATGAACTTTAGTGGTAATTTATTAGTTGACCAATCGTCGTTTTGAACGAAATTTCCTGTCAGACTAGTTCAGGGCACTGTTGTTCACTGTGCCAACATCATTCTGACATATTGCATCGCTTTTCTGCAAGATAAGCTAGCTGTTTGCAAGCAGCTGCAAGACGTAATTTAAAATCATATCCAATTTTTTAATTAGACTTTTATAAAAACGTTATTTCGAGCGGCTAAAAATGAACATTTTATACTAGCCTCTGATTACTCATCTTTTGTTCCATATAGGTGCTTTGCTGCTTTTCCCTGCTACTTTTCGAGGTATGCGCCAGTAAACCACATGATGTAGGGGCAATTGTCACCTCGCCGCTCTACTGAAGGCCCGGCGCTCTTTAACCCGCGCCCCACTGGGGGGGGGGGGGGGCTATTTATAGCCCCCCTCCCGTTTTTCTGCAATAACTTCCAAACCGCTTGACGTATCGACGCCAAACTTTCAGTACCTTCGGCTGCATCAATTTGACACCTTGTGTCAAAATTTGAACTTCGTACCTACCATAGGTCGGCCGGAAATGACGTCAGAGTGACGTCATGTTCGGCCGATTTCGAAGCAAAACATTGAACCACGGCAATCGCTCCCAAGAGCTCAGTTTTTAAGCTAGATCCAATTCCTTTACATGAGAGGACTCAAAATAGACTGCACTATCAAACTGCTATCTCGGATTTTCGAAATTTTGAAAATTTAGAAAATTTTATATAATAAAACTCAAAATTTATATTTTTACATTTTTTTTTTCAAAAAAATTTTGACTTTTCGTAAAAACCGGAATATATGTCATAGAACGCATTATTATGACTAACTCTAGCAAGTTTTAGCTAAATATCTTCAAAAATGGCCAAGTTATACGCATTATTGCAAAAAATTAACAATTATTAATTTTTCAAATCAATTTTTCAGCATGAATTTGCCATCGTACGCCAATATAAATAGCACCATCGTGTTCCTGAGCTCAAACTGCATCCAATAGACACCTTTTTTGTTGAAAAATTTTAACTTCAAAATTTGACCTTTTTTGACCTGAAAGTGACCTGACCTGAGCTAAATTTGGCTCAAAATGACCTCAAATGACACAAACGACATCAAATTCGAAATCTCTGACCTAAATGGACCATAAAACATGTGTCACGTGACCGACGGATGATATCATATTTTCGTGACCTGTGATGACCTGACCTTGACCTGAAAATCAAAGTACAAGTTTGGTACCCTCAGAGTATCTAGAGCATCTGTTCACGAGTGTGTGAACCAAAAATGAGCCTGATCTGACTTGTAAGACGGCGGCCAGGGCCCAAAACGTGAAGAAGCCAAAATGCTAATAATTTTTACTTTGACCTGACCTGTGACGTCATCGGTGACCTCGAGGTCAATGAAATTAGGTTTCGCTCGACAGTTTTTCCGGGGCTATCAGATGCCGTTTGAATTTTGACGATCGGCCCAGTAGTTTCGGAGTTAGGAGGGGGGGCTATGAATAGCCCCCCCCCCCCAGTAGGGCGTGTTATACGCAGACCCCAGTGGGGCGCGGGTTAAAACGCTGGAAGTTGTGAAAAACAAACGCTTATAATCCAAATAAAATATATGTCCCTGAGCTCCGAATTGATCAACGCACACAATGCTGTCAACATTTCTGGGCCAAACTAAAAAATTCAGTCATTATTAACCCCTAAACACAAGTCAGTGATAATCAACAACAACTTGCTCTTTAGTTAGACTTTTTGAGAAATGTTATTTCGAGCCGCTAAAAATGGCCATGCCATACAAACCACCAATCATCTTTCTGTCGTGCCCTACTCGCAATTTTCGCTAATGCCTGCTACTCTTCGAGGTCACGTGACCTCGCCATTAAAAGTGAATGGGGAAATAAGGAAACTGTTGTTTTTGCGCATGGAGTGATTTCAAACTATCTCAAGCACACGGAATCGTGATTTCGTGCACTCCTTGCAAGATCCGATGCTTTACTTTTGCATTGTTGACCTTCCGTGACGTCATTTATGACGTCACACCGGTCATATGAGTTTCTCGTCAATAACTCACGATCAAATTGAGCCAGCGACTCGGGAAAGCCACCAATGGACTCGGGAAGACCTCCCGAATCGAATGATATGCGATACGACCTCCTTCGATTAAGTTCGTGGCCTGATGGGCTCTGAACTGACCTTGACTCGAGGTCAATACCTTAACCCTAGAACGCCTAGGGGGGGGGGGGGGTTGTATCAACCCCCCCTGAGGTTTTTTCGAAGTGCACGCTAAACGGCTTGTCGTAGCGGGCTGAAATTTTCAATACCCTCTGGGGCAACCTTTGCGCATCTTTTGCCAAAAAAAAATTGATCGGGTCATGTCAGGTCACGGAGTTATGACGTCATAAGAGGTACATACAGCCTCCGGCCGACAGTTACCAAACGTGTGCGCCGAATCCCTAGGTTTTCTGCCGGTGATACCCACATTGTTTGATGGATCATGATGAAACTTCCCATGCATGTTGGGGCAAGCATTGGCTATCGTGTGGTGCAAGAAAATTGACCGGGTCAGGTCAGGTCACGGAGCTATGACGTCACAAGAGGAACAGCGTCCGGTACTATTTTTGAAAAGCGCCCGAACCACTATTTTGCTAATTCTTGTCACCTCAATGGGAATATGCAGCAATATTAGCTTCTATAGGGAGCAAATGGACCTCCCAAATCCAAAAATACAATCAGATTTCAAAAATTTAAATTTTGATATTTCGAATTTCTGCCGCCGACTGTGACCTTGCCGACTTCCGGCGCTCCCAACGCGCCATTTTTAGAGCTAGGGAAACGAAATACATACCAAACGATAGAGAATTGATCAAGAAACACGATAGTTAAGGTTTCAAGTCGATATCTCCCACCGTTTTGCCGCAATCGCCGCGGAAAGTTGAAAAAGTTTGATTTTTTCGGAAAATTTGACCTTTGACCGGTCATAAGTAGGTCAAATGTTGACCTAGGACCAAAAATATACCACCAATCGCGAGATCTCGTTGAGAGCAATCCGTTGGTTTTTCCGCTAAGCTCTACGACCTTCCGTTTCGAAACACCAGGGGGGGGGTCGTGTTACGACTCGTAACAACCCCCCCCCCCCCCCCTGGTCGTTCGTGTTATGAGAAATGGCCTGGTCGTGCGAGGGTTAAGTTGACCTCACCCGAACAAAAAGCATACCATTCGACGCGCCTGAGCCAGGCGAACACGATGGTGCCAAAATCGCTGCTCTGCGGCCATTTTTTTGCGAAATTATTTGCCAAAAACCAAACCCTACCTTGGGCTTTTTGACTTCACCTCAGAGGTTACCGGTTGACCTGGGACCTTAAAATCGGGTATCAATCGTTCCGCCTTGAAACGGCGCACACGCTTGTTTTTTCTGCGAGGCTCTAGCTCCATTAGGGGCGAAACGGCAAAAAGGGGTCGTACGAAGTACGAACCCTCCCCCCTCGGCCGGCCGAGGGGGTGGGGGGTCCGACAATAGGTCCGGCGAGGGTTAAGCAGCCCCACTTCGTTTTTAGCATGTTTGCTTGTCACTGAGATCAACGACTCAATCACAAATAATTTCTAGCACTTTTCCGGACCCCCGGCCCAGTGTGCGGAGGCGCTGGGAGGATCAGAGGGGCTCGGGGAGGGTCAGGGAAAGCGGAGAGGTGCCCGCCAGGAGGATCGGAGGGGAGCGTCGGGAGGGGAGGGGAGGGAGGGGAGGGGAGGGAGGGTCCGGAGACGGTCTATGGCGAATCGGGGAGGACGGTCCAAGGCAGACGTCTGATGCCTGGCGGTGCCGTTTTATCCCCAGCCTGATTGATGACTCCAGCGGACCGGGGATTAGATGGGATCGGACACAGAGGCGCCGCTTACCCTCGGGTAGCCGTAGGTCTCCACGGGCGGTGTGGCCGTGGTCCGTTCACTGGTCCGCTCACTGGCTGTCACATTAGCCGGGTGCTCGGTGCTGACGGCCGGGGAGGCAGCTGTCGGCTCTGTCCCCGCACTGCTGACACCAGCCGGCCCGGGGCTCGGCGGCCGCGTCCCAGCTGGGGAGACCGCTGGAGATGTGTCCCCAGCTGCGGTCGGTGCTGCAGTCGATGGCTGGGTGGTAGGCGCTGGTGGGGGTGTGGTGGTCACCACAGGGGCCTCTGTGGCCGCTGAGGTCTCATCAGCTGCTGTGGTGGCCGTCGTTTCTGCGGCTATGGTGGTCTCAGGCTCCGATGGTCCGTCAGTGGACGCTGCGGGCGGTGACCCAGACGCTTGAGACTCCGTTGCCTCCGGGACCGTTTCAGCAGAGGTCTGGGCAGCTGGAGATGCCGTCGTGGCTGTCTCTGCAGCAGTTGACGCCGCTGTAGTGGCTGCTGAGCCCTCTGTTGACTCTGTGGCGGTCTCGGTCGTCTCCGTCTCCGCCGAGCTGTCGACGGCCGCCGCCGGGCTCGGAGCCTCTGTCGTCTCAGTTGCCGCCGTCGTCGTCACCTCCACCGCCGCCTCGCCCTCCGCAGACGGCTCCGCCGCGGTCGACGCGCCGTCACCGTCGGCTGCTGTCGGTGTCGACGCGCTGACGTCATCCGTCGCCGGCGGTGACGCGGAGGAGGCCGAGGTGGCCGGGTCGGCCGCGGCCGTGCTGCCCCCTGGGTCAGAGGCGGCGCTGGCGGCGCTGGCAGCTGTAGAGGCGGCCGTAGGTCCGGCACTGGCAGCGACCGTGGACCCGGAGTTCGGCGACTCTGGTGTCGTCATGGTTCCGGCTGTGGCTGGCGAAGGGCTTATGCTTGGTTCGGTAGTATCGTCACCCAGGCAGACGGCAGCGCAGGCCAGCGCCACGGCTGCTGGAAACGGAGAACAAAACTGGGTTAAGCACTGCATCTTTCTTCATAATCACCGCGGAAAAACAGTCGGCTGCTTTATTTGGATAGTTTTTTTTTTTTCAGCCACTGGCTAGATTGTATTTTATAGTAATGGGGTCTGATTGCTGCGCCTCGTCTTACTCAAATCTCATTTTGTTACTTCGCGGTTTGCTATTGTTTTAGAGAAAGCCCAAGCAGAAATTGATGCCCATAAAATAACTATTCGCCATTCAGAGATAGTGTGCCATGATTCAGGAGAGTAATCGTGAAATTCATGCCTAGATGTATGAGCTGCAATGCACTTTCTATAATTGCTTTTACGTGATTAATTTAACTTTTTTATCGCATTACCGTTCTCTGGTGCAATTCATTTACTTTTCCAGCCGCTATCTGAGGTTGACGCAATAAAACGTCAAAGCCGTGTAGGAGCTATACTCGTAGATTTAGATAAAAAGTCATCTAGATTTGGGTAAGTTAACCCTCGCCCGTATAAGGGGGGAGGGTCGAACGGACCCCCTTCGTTTTTTGCGAATAACTCGCGTAAAAAGCGGCCGATTGCGGCGAAGTTTTCAGTACCCTCGCGGTAATAATTTTTACACCTACTCTAAAAATTTCATGACCCTGACCCAAATGACCTTTGACCTGTGACCCATTTCTCGAGGCCATGTTTGGCCGGAATCGCGATTCGGCGAATGTCGGCCCGCATTAGCCGCGCGTTTGCAGTCTTTTCGTGGTTTCAAGCGCTCAAACATTTGATATGATGCTGGTCCCATGCATAAGGGTGGGTGTCAGGGTCACATGAAGGTCAGGCCAGTTCATTGACCTTTGGTGACTTCGATTCACTTTTTGAGTTGTACGTACATGTTTCTAGGCTAGTTTTCAGAGCTGAATTCGAATTTAGCAACCAGTTGAACATTTAACGAAATAGTTTTGGTGCTTTCGTTACAAAGCTGTCAGAGGCGGTTGACGCCTATTACGAATACCTACTCGGCAGGAGTGCAGGACCCCTACTGGTTGACCTGACCTGACCTGGCCTAAATGCATGAAGACATCATCTCTGATCAAAACTTGCATGATATTCGTGATCAGCACCCCGAAAAAAAAAAACAATAGCAGCCACACTTTACGACGGTCTTACAGGTCCCGATTTTCCCGACTTTTGGGTCATTGACCTGACCTGGAGGGTCAACCAATGACCTAAGGCCTTAAAATTAGGTACTATCGGCTTCCTCTCGTCACGGGCAACACGCTCGTTTTTCCGCGAAGCTCTAGCTCGATCAGGGGCGAAACGGCAAGGAGGGGGTCCAACGGACCCCCCTCTCCCCTTATACGTTCGCGGCTGGCAAAACACCAATATGGGCGAGGGTCAAAAAAAGCCACACACGTTAGCCACAAGCATTCGATAAAAGGTCGATTACCACCGGGTCTCACCTGCTATTCTCCACCGGTGCATTGTGATATCGTGTAGACGGGTCGGTAATTGTTGTCTCTTCGTAGTTACCGCTGCCTAGTCACGGCTGCAAGCCGTGTCACTGCCCAAACAAGCCTATTCACATTCCCAGAAGCGCATGGAACGTTGACATCGGCCTTGATACAGGGCACTATCTGAAAAAAAGAATGGTGAAATCAGTGATAAGTGCAAGCATTCGTTATCGTAACAATCCCCAACCATTCTCCAAATCCTGTTGAAAATGCTAACTCCTTATTCAATCATGATGAGCCTCGTTTGACTCGCGAGAAGTGTTGGGTGAACTTTATCATGAGGGCGCTACACCAGCGCTACGCTACCGTTTTTTTTTTTTGTGTGTTCAACTTATGACATACTTATTTTTCGCACATGTAAAAGCGACCCGGGGTGTTCGATGTCACGTCACCAGGTAATGATAAGGGATTTTACTTCAAGACAAACAAGCCCAAATTATACACCAACGAAGCGTGGGCTTCCTTGTTTTTTTTTTTTTTGTCAATGATAAGGGACAAGGGTGCATTGAAAATCTTCTTCCCTTGTTTTTAGATAGCTCTAAGTGACCTAAGGAGGGTCAACTTCATTACATCTGTAGATCGATGGCAAAAATATAGCCCCGCCATTTTCAGACATACGTCATATTTAACGCCAAAGCATTGTTTTAGTAAACGTTATCCTGATTTTCTGTAAGTGATTTCACTAGTAAGCACCTAGTGTACAATTTTTCATACCTAAGCATCGGTTATGTGCAGCATCTTCTTTCCATGGTTAGGTCATGACCTTGACTCTAGGTCACTTTCAATTTCAATTTCATGGTTTAATTTCATGTTCATGTTCATGTTTATCATTAACCCTCGCCGGCACAGGCCATTTTGCGTCCTTCGACGGTGCAAGGGGGGATTGGTAAGTACACCCCCCCCCCCTCGCGTTTGGCCCCTGATCGAGCTAGTGCTTCGCAGAAAAAAACGAGCGTGTTGTCCGTCACGAGACGATTCCGATGATACCCAATTTTAAGTTCCTGGGTCATCGGTTGACCTTCCAGGTCAGGTCAATGACCCAAAAATCGGGAAAATCGGGAACTTTTTAGAAAGTCGTAAAGTATGGCTGCTATGGGGGTTTTCGGGGCTCTGATCACAAATTTCGTGTTAGTTTTGGTCACAGATCATGTCTTAAAGCATTTAGACCAGGTCGGGTCAGGTCAGGTCAGGTCAACCAGTAGGGGTCGTGACGGATATTCGTAGTACGTGTCAACCGCCTTTGATAGCTTCGTAACATGTTACGAAGGCACCAAAACTAATTCGTAAATGTTCAAATGAATGCTAAATTCGAATTCAGCTCAAAACACTAGCCTAGAAACAAGTAAAACTCGAAAAAGTGAGCCGAAGTTACCAAAGGTCAATGACCTGACCTGACCTTCAGGTGACCTTGGCATCCACCCTTATGCATGAGAGCAACATCAAATCACATATTTCAACGTTTGAAACCACGAAAAGCTTGCAAACGCGCGGCTAATGCGAGCCGACATACGTCGAATCGCGATTCCGGCCAAACATGGTCTCGGAAAGTAGGTCACAGGTCAAAGGTCATTTGGGTCAGGGTCATGAAATTTTCAGGGTAGGTATGTGTCAAATTGATCAATGCGAGGGCATTGAAAGTTTGGTCGCAATCGGCCACTTTGTACGCAAGTTATTCGCAAGAAAAAAAACCTTAGGAGGGGGTGCATTAACCCTAGCCGGCCGAGGGGGGCCCGCCCCCCATAGTTTTTTTTTTTCGCGATAGCTCCGAACACGCTGGCGATAGAGAGCTGAAACTTGGCATACCTGACCTTTGATTCAAGCCGGAGCTTTTGACACCAACCGTATTTTTGGGTCAGGTCAGGTCACTGACCTATGACGTCATAAGTGAACCTCTGCACGGTCTTCAGATGTCGCAACTTCGCAACGCCCTCACTGCCAGAGGAGATGTCACAGGGAAATGAAACTTGCAGGATCTAGTATCCATTATGAGTCTCACAACTTGTATATCTCGGATTTTTCCTAAAGGTCATATGAGGTCAGGTCATTTTCGTGACCTCACCATTATAAGTCAACGGGGAAAAATGAAAACTGCTATTCTGGCGCCGGGAACGATCTCTAACCATCTCAAGCACACAGAATCGTGATTGATGCACTCCTTGCAAGGTCAGATGCAGACCTTGCGTGACGTCATTTATGACGTCATCAAGGTCATATTAGTTTTTCGTCAATAACTCTTGATCAAATTGAGCTAGCGAGTCAGGGAAGTCACCAATGGACTCAGGAAGACCTGCCGAATCGTATGATATGCGACATGACCTCTTTAACCCGCGCCCTGCTGGGGGGGTGTTTGAACACCCCCCTTGTGGTTTTTCGCGAATATCTCAAAAACGGCGGCGCAGAGCGCCGCCGTTTTTGTTACACCTTATCATACATCAATTCTACACATGTTGTGAAAATTTCAGACCAAGGTCATTCAAGGTCAGGTCACCAGGTCACTTGAAGTGACCTCACCTCATAAAAAGTTTCAATGTCTTCATAACTACACCGAGTGACCGATCGCTTTGAAACTTTCAGCGATTGCTAAGAGCAATAGCATGTACAAAATGTATATCTCAGAATTTTGATATCGATGACCTAAGGTCAGGTCAATTTTGCGACCTTATAATTGTCAATGGGAGAAAATTGAAATGCGCCTCTTTTGGACGAAAGACATTATAAACACTCCCAAACACTGAATTACAAGTGGTTTAGACACACTGAACATGGAAATGGTGTCCGTGACCCCTGTTTATGCCCTGAGGTCATCTTAGGTCACGAATGGTATCTAACAGTTTTTCGCAAATAAGTTTTGATAGAGGCATGCTAGAGCGACGAAAATGTCTTAGATGTGTTCAGCTCGACGATACGGATCGACTGATATGCAACATGACCCTTTCCGGTCAGGTCATGACCTTGACCTGAGGTCAAATTTTCAAGTTGACCTTTCAAGGTCAAGTTATAGTTCATTCGATGCGTCTTGACGAGAGGAACGATGACGGTAAAAGTAAGCTCGTACAAGGCTTGGGTCAAAAGTTATTGCAGAAAAACTGTTTCCGAAAAAAATCGGCTATTTTTGCAGTTTTTGCCCCCTGCAGGCAAAACCGTTGACGTTAGGTCAAATCTGAGAGAATTACTCAGAAAGGGCGTGTTAATAGGGCTATCGAATGCGCTTTTCCGCGGCGCTGTAGCTCTGTTGGTTCCCGAGTTATGCGTTGGCTTCTTGGAAATTGTCGACATTCGACCTGGAAATCGGCGAAATTTTGCCTTCAATGACCTCTGGTGACCTGACCTTTGACCTGACCACAAAATTGACCGAAGTGATTTCCTCATTATTTTTGACGCTCTTTCGAATGCCGCCTTCCGCGTATCGCTGCGTGGCCCAGGAGCCGAGTTAGAAGGGGGGTGTTCAAACACCCCCCCCCCCAGCAGGGCGTGCAAATCCAGGACCCCCAGCAGGGCGCGGGTTAAACAAACTAGTGATCTGGGGGGTGCTGACCTGACCTTGACCTGAGGTCAACACCCAAAGTTGACCTGACCCGAAAAAAGTATATCATTCGACGCGCTTGAGCGAGGCGAACACGATGCTGCCAAAATCGCGGCACTGCGGCCGTTTTTTGCGAAGTTATTCACCAAAAACTGAACCGTACCTTGGGGCACTTGACCTGACCTCAGAGGTCACCGGTCGACCTAGGACCTTAAAATCGGGTACCAATCTCTGCGTCTCGTAACGGCGCACACGCTCGTTTTTTCCGCGACGCGCTAGCTCCACCAGGGGCGAAACGGCGAGGGGGTCGTACCCGCCCCCCTCGGCCGGCGCGTATGTAGAAAACCTATAGGTCCGGCGAGGGTTAACCCTAGAACGCCTAGGGGGGGGGTGTATCAACCCCCCCCTGAGGTTTTTCGAAGTGCACGCTAAACGGCTTGTCGTAGCGGGCTGAAATTTTCAATACCCTCTGGGGCAACCTTTGCGCATCTTTTGCCGAAAAAAAATTGATCGGGTCATGTCAGGTCACGGAGTTATGACGTCATAAGAGGTACAGCCTCCGGCCGACAGTTACCAAACGTGTGCGCCGAATCCCTATGTTTTCTGCCGGTGATACCCACATTGTTTGATGGATCATGCTGAAACTTCCCATGCATGTTGGGGCAAGCATTGGCTATCGTGTGGTGCAAGAAAATTGACCGGGTCAGGTCAGGTCACGGAGTTATGACGTCATAAGAGGTACAGCCTCCGGCCGGATTTTCACGAAGTGTGTACCGAGTCCCGAGGTTTTCTGCTGACGCTATCCACATTGCAGTGGATATCCACATATCTTTTCTGAGTCGTTACCTACAGTATTTATAGCGGAGCAGTGGTCAACAGCCGACGAATCGGGACAAACACCGGAGGGTGATGTGACACCATATCACTCATCAGCAATAGGCCTCTTACTTTTATAGGGTAAATACACCAAAAACACCATATATGATGCAGAATTGAGTGGGGAATACGTTGTTGAAGGTTTGAAGTTAATATCTCTCACCGTTTTGCCGCGATCGTTGCGCAAAGTTGAAAAAGTTTGATTTTTTCGGAAAATTTGACCTTTGACCGGTCATAAGTAGGTCAAATGTTGACCTAGGACCAAAAATATACCACCAATCGCGAGATCTCGTTGAGAGCAATCCGTTGGTTTTTTCCGCTAAGCTCTACGACCTTCCGTTCGAAACGCCAGGGGGGTCGTAACAACCCCCCCTCCCCTGGTCGTTCGTGTTATGAGAAATGGCCTGGTCGTGCGAGGGTTAACCCCCCCCCCCCAGCCCCTGTGCCGGAGAGGGCTAACGTCTAATCATAATTCTTTCGAAGCATATTGACCAGTAAAACGCCTTTTGGGGCGACCAACGGAGCAAGCGAGAGGGTGACGCAATTAGACGCAATTACGCGTGCGAAATTGCGAGGGTACCTCCAACTAACTTGTGCATTGTGCAATACACCCTACTAACCGGTCTCTAGCGATGTGTCAAATTTGAGCACAATCGGCCCAGCCGTTCTCGAGATCTTGAAGCGGCACCCTGCACGTGCTCACGAGCAAAATGGGCCACAACTGAGTTTTGTACGGC